GCTATTGTTTTGTGCTCACATGCCAAACTTTACCTTAATGTGTTTAGGCCTGATTTTTGAGTATGATCATACTTAGTTTCAAGTTTCTGAGGTGTGTGGATGTTTTATTTAAGTTGTTTATACCTGTTGTGTTTTTCATGTTCAATGTGTATCATTTGCATCAAGATGCCATCCCTATGTCACTTTCTGATTTGGAAGCATTGAGTCTGCATTTTTAGCATAGAGACATCTTTTAGCATATATGTGGTGTGTGTGTGTCATTGTTGTGGCATGAATCTTATCATTTTGAAAAAACACTTTTAATATCCAATCTATGTCTTGTATGTTGATGTCATGTTTAAAAACTACATGAAAATGATTTTTGTCACTTTTTACACTAAACTTCCACCAGTGAAAGTTATCTTTAAAATCTGCCTGAAAATACTTTTGGCAACTTTTGCACTGAACTTCCACCAGTGGAAGTTATGTGTTATTTTTGACTTTTTTTCAAAAATGTCATTTTTGCTCCTATTTGCATATGCCATACTAACTGTTATGCTAGTTGATTTTTCTCCCATGTAAAGATTGGAACATCTCCTATTGGTCATTTGTAACATGTTTGCATAATCATTTCATTGAAAACACACTGTCATGAAAAATCACTTTTCAAAAGCCCACTTTTCACATACACTTTGCATCTCACATACCACTTCTAGCACAAACTTAATTTTCACAAAAAAACACATCATGTACACATCATAATAATCATTTCTGAGCTGCTAGCATCATCACTTTGCATTGAAAAAGCTTTGCTATGAGAATCACACTTCAAATGCACATTTTCACATCCTTGCATCTCAACATGTCACTTTTCATTTCTGCATAAACTGAGTTGATGTAAGTTGATAATATCATTGCATATCATATAATAATTATGTGCATATGTTTACCTTGGTTTAAGAGCACTTGAGTTGGTTTGAAAATCTCAAAATGCATCTCATTACACTTCAATACAGTAGCTGTCGAATTTTGTAGTAGGCTGGGAATTTTCAAAAACTACCACCACCATCATGTTCCTTGTTCAATTCTACCCCAGATACATATAAATTTTATGTCATTCCGATAAACGGTTAGGGAGATACGATACAAAACGTAAATGCTCGGTTTATGCTTTCTTGCCCAACCTGTCATGAAACTTACCCTTATAATTAATTAGGGGTGGCTTCATCAATGGATGTATAGCCACCCCAGTGGTAAGACCATGCGCCTTTCATGCCAAGTACCTGAGTTCGACCCCTGAGGAGGGCAACTCTTTTATCCATTTTTGTGATTTTTCATGTAAATTTCAAAAATTCGTATCTCACTCGTTTTTCATCATTTTTCGTCGTTCTTTTTTCGTTGTGCTCGTATTAATGTTTACTTTAATGTCATGTTTTTATTTTTCATTTTTGACCAATTTTTCATCATGTTTAACCCTGTGCAAATTGTGCTTTTACAGTGTAAACCCTAACTGTTGCAGATGAATTTTTATGTGGTTCCACTTGGATTTGTTTGTGGAATTTGTTTGTTTTCATGTCCATACATGTTAGTTAACATGCTAGGATTTTCGTTTTGAGTTGTAACCATGTTCATCTCATCCCCCTGTTGACTGTATTGGAATGCGATCTGTCGTCACAGTTCTCGTTATTTTTTTTATCTGCTTTGATTGTGATCATTGCATTTTCATCACTACGCCAAAATTGGTTTTTTGTATCGCCTACTTTAATAGCGCTTTTTAAATAAGCTCTATTAAAAAGGAAACAAACATATTTATAATAGCGCTTTATAGTAAAGCGCTATTAAAGAGTACAGAGAATATGATTTTGATAGCACTTTGTAAAAAGCGCTATTATAGATATTCACTAAGATAGCGCTTTTCTAAAAAGCGCTATTAAAATGTTGTATTACAATAGCACTTTCATAAAAGCGCTATTATTAAAAGCACTGCGGTAGCGCTTTCTAAAAATCGCTATTAAAATATGTAACTAAAATAGCGCTTTCTATGGAACCGCTATCGTTTCTATCATTGTATATTAAGATAGCGCTTTTATAAAAAGCGCTATTAAAGAAATAAAAAGTAAAAATAAATCAGCAAAGAAAAACAATAGAAGCCAAGAGCCTTCTTCTTCGTATCATTACTCGGATTCCCCTCTCTCTCAATCTCGTTTCACTGGCTCTCTCTTTGAAACTCTCTCCATCTCCTCTTATTTTATTTCTGAATCTGGTTTACGTTTGTTGATGATGATTATTCTGAACGGTTTGGTTTTGATGATGGAAATCGATTGAAGTTTGAGGTTTACGGCGGAAGGAATGGAGATTTGGATTACTGAAAGAGGGGTTAGGGTTTATGATTGGGTGTTCGGTTGTTTCACTTTGAATCTCTCTTCCACTTTCGGTTCTGGTTTTGGGGGTGTTTTGAAGTTGGATTTACGGATGAAATGGGTTTGAAACCAGTTTGAAGTGAGGGATGGATTAACGGTCGGAGGTGAAGGTTTTTGGAAGGGGTTCCGATGGAGGTTTTGAAGGAGTTTTTCGGCGTTTTGTGTGTGGTTCTGTTAATGGTGAGAGATGGAATGTGGATTCTGTGTTGAAGATTTTCTAATGTTGAAGTTAGGGTTAAAAGAGGGGTTTAGGTCCGGTTCTGTTTTGATGTTAACAGAGGGATGTTTCCGGTGTTTAACGGTTTCGATGGGTTTTTGATGTTGATAGCGGCGTGCGGCGGAGTAAGGTGGGTCGAAGGGAGGTTTGTTGTGGTTAGAGCTCGGGATTTACGGACGGCCGCAAATTTCAATACAGGCATGTCATGCTTAGAGCTCGGAATTTACGGACGGCCGCAAATTTTATCCCTTCCAAGGCTTTTCGTGCTCGGAAGCTTTATTTTTGTAATGAGGTTTGTTTTCTTATTGTATATTATAGTTTGTTTTTCCTGGATCCTTTACAAAAGATAGCTGATGAATATATTTCAAATTTGACACTTCTAGAACTACTATAATACTCATCAAAAGTTAATAATTGTCACAAACTTTATCTAGTAACTTACATAATCGTCTGCCTAGCCAATTCAACAATGAACTAATTGTTTTGTTGGTTTTTCGTTAAAGGAAAATGGTCTGTTGTTCGTTTCAAAGGGCCAAGCCCAGAATCCACAAGCACAGATGTTCTCTGATCCGAACATGGCCATGGATATGATGAAGAAAAATATTTCAATGATCATACCACAGGTGTTGAGAATAGATTTTGACGCTACTCTTTCATTATGTTTTTTTATTCATATTCCTTGCTTGTTATTCTACCTATTGCCAATTATGAAATGCCATACTAACTTGTATTGTTTCCTCTTGTTGGACAGACTCTTACTTTTGCTTGGGTGAACTTTTTCTTTTCTGGATTTGTAGCAGGTAATGTTTCATACTTCCTTTTGCTCCTCCTTGTGTCATACTGATAGAATAGATTGATAGTTTTCTTTTCTACATGAATTCATATTCTTCATAGTCTGTTTATGTCTGTCATTTTACAGTGCCAAGATGCCAATTCTTTTGTTTGTAAATAATTAAATATTAAATATACAGTTGCCAACCTGAATAAGTACATAATGTATTGATTTATTGACTATGGAAGCCATATACTTGCTACGAAGATTGATGAAAAAATAAACAAATAAAAAAAATAACTCAAGACGATTTTTATTAGTATTGGAAAGACATATTAGATAGTACCTAGAGGGGTTTTTTGGAATATTCAAAAGAAAGAATCTTGGATTACATTTTAGCCATTAAAGATATGTATGTACCAAGGGCTCAAAAACTAGCTTGAGAATACAAGGTGGAAATATAGAAAATTTTCTAACAACTATAAGTGTGTGCCAAAGGTCAACTTTGAGCCTCAGTCTTTTTCTCTTGGTTCAAGGCATACTTGCTTAACATATCCCAAAGATGGTATTCAACAGATGCCTTTTGAGGATAACATATAGCCTTCATTGGAAAGATGGGAGATAAAATAAAAGAGAATTAGTGATTTAGTGATAATAAGCCTAAAAAACTCAATATCCCACAATCATAGATGTAAAATGAAATGTAATACTTTGGGAGTAGTGCATATAGTAATAACAAGAGGGCATAATTAAACAAAAGAAAATTAATTCTACAGGGAAAAGTGATAATTACAACTCATTTTGAAACAAATTGTCTTTGCTAAAGTGATGCTCATTTTGAAATAGAGGGAAGGGAGTAAATAGAAGTAAAATATTATATGAAATACAAGTTTAGCAAGAGACACACAATTCTAACTCATAGGAAACATCAAAGAATATACAATACTACAAGTCTTACATTTCAAGTATGAATACTAATTTACTATTGTAGTTACTGCTATAGGTGCTCCACAGAAGGTGGCTCATCTGATGGAAGCACTATTAAAGTCTCGTTCAACTTTGTTCTTTCTCTTGTTACCATTGTGTTTTGTGTTGTCACCAAGTTCTGATTTTGTGCATACTGTGATTTGAGTGCCTAAGTTATGTATTTACTTTACTTTACCATTATGCCATAGAAGATATATTATAGTTGTATGACTAAGGAATGTTAAAGAAGAAATGGATTTAAACTGCATGAGTTTTTGGTTCAAATTGATGAGATGTCAAAAATCTTTAAACTTTTGAAGTTTGAACCTTATATGATGGCAAATTATTTACCATGGTTCATCATATATCTGCTGCAGTGAATTCTGATATCATGAAAGCGTTTATTTTTATGCTTTTATTATTTAAGTTGGATTTCAATCTGTCCCAATCTGTCCCACCCTCTATTAATATTTGGAAGTAACTTGATAATTGATCCTTTTATGTAAGCCTTCATGTTGAGTTAGCCTGTTCGTCCTGGTTAACATAATAATAAAGTTTAGGTGTATGAGTTACTCATATTTCTTCTTATCACGTTAAACAACTTGCGGAATTTTTGTGGCAAAAACTGCAGAATGATTCAAATGTTATGACTCTTGAATGGTTAAGACAAACAAGTCAATCAGAACCGAATCATAATGAAAAGCTGGATGTTTCGGAATTGCTTAACGGGAAAGATAGCTGTGAATATTTTGTTGATCCACCTGCCACTTTAGAGAATACAAGTACCCGAGCGTTTTCTAGTCATCCAATGAGGCCTTTCTTCTTGGTTGGTTCAAGCAATACACACATTTACCTGTGGGAGGTTAGAAAATCTTTAGTTTCTGTACATTCGTAATGATAGTTGTGAATGTAGATATACACAATTGTCGAGATTACTAATATCTGCATTACTCTAGTGAGTTGATTAATTGCATTAAATGTCAATATTTCAAGCTTATGGCTAATGAGGAGCCTTATATTATACAGTTCAATAAGGACAAAGCTACTGCTTCATACGGGGTGCTGCCTGCTGCTAATGTCCCTCCACCATATGCTCTTGCGTCAATTTCAGCTTTACAATTTGACCACTTTGGGCATCATTTTGCCAGTGCTGCATTAGATGGAACTGTCTGCACATGGCAGCTAGAGGTAGGAGGAAGGAGCAACGTTCGTCCAACAGAATCATCCCTCTGCTTTAATGGCCAAGCATTGTATGTAAACTTTGTTTTGTAAAACTGAGTTATGATTTTAGTCACCCTTCATTTTAAGTTGTGTTTGGTTTAAACATTTGATTCAAAATATAAGCATCATGAAAATTATAATTAGCTTTCAAAACATTATTATAAGCATCATGATGGCTGTAATTCTTATGAGGTTGATATGGTGCCTCTGGATTGGTGCCTCTAGGTTATACTTTAGTTGTGTTTATAAAATATTTTGGTTTGAAGTACTCTTAAGCCAAATTAATGGTATCACATTTGTCATTATTATTTTAATTTCAAGTATTTTAGCTACTTAGTTATAATTATTTTATGAATTCTAATGTCGTAAAATGCAAATGCCATATATATATATATATATATATATATATATATATATATATATATATATATATATATATATATATATATATATATATATATATATATATATATATATATATATATATATATATATATATATATATATATATATATATATATATATATATATATATATATATATATATATATATATATATATATATATATATATATATATATATATATATATATATATATATATATATATATATATATATATATATATATATATATATATATATAAATGATTTGGTGTAAAAAAAAGTGTATTAGAATAGCGTTTTGAAGAGAGCGTGCTATAATAACGCTTTGTTAGAAAGTGCTATCAAAATTAAAGCAATTTATCGGTATTTCAATAGCGCTTTGTTTGAAAGTGCTATCGAATATGTGGATTATAATAGCGCTTTGTTTGAAAGTGCTATTAAATATGTGTCTTATAATAGCTCTTTATTTGAAAGCGCTATTAAATATGTGTACTATAATAGCGCTTTGTTTGAAAGTGCTATCAAAATTAAAGCAAATTACCGGTACTATACGCTTTGTTTGAAAGCGCTATCAAATATGTGACTTATAATAGCAGTTTTGTAAAAGCGCTATTAAATATAGGTACTATAATAGCGCTTTTTCAAAAGCGCTATTATAGTACCTGTATTTAATAGCGCTTTTAAAGAGCTATTACAAATTTTGTTTTACAATAGCGCCTTGATTAATAGCGCTTTAAAGCGCTATTAAAAAGCAAAAAAAGTGCTATTATAAAATTTTGGTTTACAATAGCGCCTTGATTAATAGCATCCTTATCAATTTCATGTGCTCATTTAATGGTTGTCACCATGAACCCATGATACTTTCCTCCTAAATTATGAGGTTAAACTGATTCACCTGTACATATTCATCTATACATAACAACAAGCTTCCTTTCTTACACGAGTCGCCGTACTCACTTTTAACTGTCCCACCGTGGACATTCTCCCCTTTTATCCTAGCCTTAGGATTTGAGTCGTCGCACTCATGTTTACCGTCCCGTCGCGGACAACCTTTACTTCCCTTTGTCCTAGCCTTAGGATTTGAGTCGCCGTACTCACGATTACCGTCCCGCTGTGGACATTCCATCATAACAATCTTAACTTAGGAGAGGAGTCGCCGCACTCCATGTAAGTACTTCCCTATGAATACTTACTTCCCTTTGGAAACCTTGACCACAGTCAAGAGTTCCTCATCCCTAGATAGGGGAACTACGATTGCTCTGATTCCATTCCCGTCCGGATACGTAGGCACGAGATGCGATGTCTTCGCGAGCAAACTTTGTACATACTCTTTATACTTTAGATCTTTACTTTGGTACTTTTCCCTTAGCAAGCAAACTGTAGCAAACAAAAATATTAACAAGAGGTTCCTGTAGAGTACTACAGATACTTAGGATGCTAACACCTTCCCTAGGTATAACCAACCCCCGAACCTTTAGATCTCTCTTTGCTCAGCTTTAGGCCTTGTCCTTCTGCTTTGCATTTTTATAGGTCTTTCTTTCTTTAAACCTTTTCTTTTTGGATAAATTAAAGTCCGGTTGTAAATGAATTAAGAGTCAAGTTAATCAATAGCTTGGTATCCAGATTTCACCGCAACACCATCCAATTGAAAACATTATTGGAGACATCACAAAGGGTGTAACAACTCGAGCTAAGCTAAGTAATTTCTGTTATTACTTCGCTTTTGTGTCACAGATGGAACCTAAAAACCCTAAGGAAGCCCTACTCGATGAACATTGGTATTTGTCTATGAAGGAGGAACTAAATCAGTTTACTAGAAATGAGGTTTGGGACCTTGTCCCTCCTCCACGAGGTCATCGAGTAATTGGCACCCGATGGGTGTTTAGAAATAAACTGGACGAGAACGGAGTAATAACTCACAACAAAGCGCGTTTAGTCGTGCAAGGGTATAACCAAGAGGAAGGCATCGACTATGAGGAAACTTATGCGCCGGTTGCCCGACTCGAGGCTATACACCTTCTACTTGCTTTCGCTTGTGCGAAAGATTTTAAGTTATTTCAAATGGACGTCAAAAGTGCGTTCCTTAACGGGTTTATAAATGAAGAAGTCTATGTTGCTCAACCACCTAGTTTTGAGTCTCTTGAGTATCCTGATCATGTCTATAAACTGAAAAGAGCTTTGTACGGTCTCAAACAAGCTCCTAGAGCTTGGTATGAGAGACTAAGCAAATTCTTACTTGATCAAGGCTACTCAAGAGGAAAGGTTGATACTACTCTCTTCATTAAACGTCAAGGAAAACACTTAATTCTTGTACAAATTTATGTTGACGATATCATATTTGGATCCACTAACATGAATCTCGTAAGAGAGTTTACTAAGCTTATGCAGGGTGAATTCGAGATGAGTATGATGGGTGAACTCACATATTTTCTCGGTTTACAAATCAAGCAACTGAAGGAAGGAACATTCGTGAGCCAAACAAAATATTGTTTGGATCTTCTCAAGAGATTTGACATGGCAAATGCAAAAGCCATAGACACCCCTATGCCAACATGTGCAAATATGAGTAAAGATGAAAGTGGCAAAGATGTTGAGGTAAAAAGGTACAACGGTATGATTGGCTCGCTTCTCTACCTTACTGCTTCGCGTCCCAACATTATGTTTAGCGTGTGTATGTGCGCGAGATACCAATCATGTCCTAAGGAATCCCACCTAAAATCTGTCAAACGCATACTTCGATACCTATCTGGTACTCCGAAGTATGGATTGTGGTATTCTAAGGGTAATGATTGTTCATTGGTAGGCTTCTCCGATTCCGATTTTGCCGGTTGCAAATCGGATAGGAAAAGCACCAGTGGTACGTGTCACTTATTTTCAAATTCCTTGGTTAGTTGGCACAGTAAGAAACAAGTGTTTGTTGCTCTGTCAACCGCCGAAGCGGAATACGTAGCCGCCGGTAGTTGTTGTGCACAAGTCCTATGGCTTAAACAACAACTACTGGACTTCAATTTGAAACTAGAACATGTTCCAATATTTTGTGACAACACCAGTGCTATAAATCTTACCAAGAATCCGGTGTTACACTCGCGTACCAAACACATAGAAATTCGACACCATTTTCTTAGGGACCATGTAGAGAAGGGTGACGTTGTCTTTGAACACGTTGATACTAAAAACCAACTAGCGGACATTTTCACAAAGCCGCTAGCAAATGAGCCCTTCTTTCATATCCGTCGAGAACTTGGTATTCTCGATATTTCTGATCGGGTTTAACAATTACTACATTCAAATTTAATATATTTACAACTATGTTTTTGTACCACTAACAATGTTTTTTTTGAGTTTGTTGCAAGTACAAATCTGTGATTAACAAGAGTGGTCGGTACAGAGGTGATATTGCTCCTTTCTCCTTCTTTTTCTTTTCTCTCTCTTAACATTCATGACTTGAAAATAAATATATCGTTCTACAATCACGGTACTTATATATGTATATGACTGTTGCTGGCTGATACTATGTGTGTTGAATGCATGTCATATTGTGAAAAGATGAATAGGCATGATAAATAGGCAAGTGTGACATTCTGCATAACATAAAACTGAAAATTTTGAGTTTTTTGAAGGTTTGAGTCAACCTAAACAGGACAATGGTCGACGCATGCTGTAAACTTTCAAAATTATCAAAAACTATACAGTATGCGTCGACGCATGTAGGAGCTATGGTCGACGGCTCGCTTAAAAACCCAGAATTTTTCTCTTTTGAAAAACGTTCCAAATTCCCACTCCCCTACATTTAATGTGCAAACAACTCTTATGATGTTTTGATATGACATTCATCTTGTAAATTGCATCTAGACACCTAGTATGTCCTCTTGTCTCCTCCCTCTTCCCAAAAACCCTAAAACCTCTCTCTGTTAAAGACCTAAGCCTTCTTCTTCTCCAACATCATTCCAAATCACTCTCTTCAAAGTTCAAAGTTCATCCTTACAAACTTCTCCAAAAATCATCATCAATGGCTTCCTCTCTCCGCAAAACTACCAGTAAGAGATCAAGAGCCTCTTCATCCTCTGTTTCAGTTCCTGTTACTGCTGTTTCACTTGTTCATCCTCCTGCTGTTGAAAACTTCAACAAAAGTCTCAGCAAAAGGGCCATCATTCCACAACATGCTTTCTACCATGCAACAAGTGAGCGCTTGCATCTCACCCGAATTCTGTCCCTGTTGGACTTTCAAGGGTTCGTCAATTTCCTGGAATGTAATACAAAGTACAGTGAGGATTTGGTCAGGGTGTTTTACACAAATATGCGAGGTAACTTTCAAGATCAGCACTTTCACACTACTGTAGGAAATAGACTGGTTAATATAAATTCTGAAGTATGGAACAAATATTTTGATATGACTGTTGATGCTGATGCACCACCTCTTCATGAGGTAACTGACACTCGTACGGTGCCGGGTTATGAATTCAAGAGGGCTCTGAATGGAATGCTCAAACAACCCTATCCAGATGCAATTGTCAACAGTGATGCTTTTCCTCGATCGGTCACAGCTGGGAAACTCAATACAGGGGAGCGCATCCTTCAGTGGATCGTCGCTCGAATACTACGACCGAAAAAGGGTGGCCTGTCGCGTGTCAAACAAGCTGAGGTACATCTCATCTATATACTACAA